ACTGGGACGTAGTTACTGTAGCTGAAGTGTAAACACTTTGCACTGGTAGTGCTAGGTCCCATCTAGAAGCAAGCTATTTACCAGTTCAGCCTGAAGCAACTCTCCTTTTGGGAGAATTCATCTAAAAAGATATTTCTCAGGCAAAAGTATTTTAAAACAATTATTTAAATTACTCTTGCTGTCAGTTTTTCCACAGAGCCTGTCAGAAGTAAAACTGTAATTTTACTTCAGGAAAACCCATGGAAGTTTTTCCCCTCAACTTAGAGCTGGGAATGTTGGGAAGCTTCCTGGCAGTTCAGGATCTCATGGCAAGAGGAACTCTGCAAAATCTCTCACAATTCCCTGCATTCAGTGCTGTGAGTACTGCTCCACGTTTTAGCCCTGCATGTTGCTGATCTTCAGATATATACCAGTCAAGGTGTGTAAGAGACTTAAACTAATTTTGCCAGTCTTAGGAGAAATCTTGTAGAGAATATGTGTAAAAGTTATTAGAGACTAAACTTTAGGCAGAAGAGATTCTAATGTAACTTAATTAAACTAGTAATATAATTTAGCAGTACAAGTGGGTTTTGGTGAACAAAACCATAAAAAATAATTCAGAAAAAGCACGAAAGTTTTTAGGTAATGATCAAGGTGTTACCCTGTTATGGATGCAAACAATTAATACCTAGTCTTGATGAAGTACAGTGGGTTAGGTTCTGTAAGTCAGTGGGTTAGTTAGGTTCTAGAAGTAAGCTTGGGAAATGCACCACTGGATTTGAATTTTAGTGGAAATTTTTGTAGCTAAAACCAGTATAAACATCATATATATACTTAACTTCTTTTTTAAGTGCCCTTGCTACTTATTTCTTTAACGTATATTATTTTTGTCTATGTCAGTAACTAGACAGAAGGGCCCAAACAAAAATTTAGCTGTATACTTCATTCCACTTCTGATGTGTAAATTTTAGAAAGCAACAGCTCCTTACGTGTCCTTTGGGAACTGCCTTATGTTAAGCATTGAGTTGATGGAACTTTTCTACTTTTGCTTTTATTTTATGAAGATGACAGACATGAAATGTGGGTCACTCGAACAAAAGTATGTTTTTCAAATTAGAGACAACTGTGAGGTGGTTTTCTATTGCTACCTTTAAATGTTTCTAAAACCTCTATGCAGCTTTGTTAACAAGTAGTCTCTCATCAAACAGACATCAATAACAGTGAAAGCCAGTTTTGACTTCTGCCCAGTAATGACCTGAATGAGCTGGTGTTGTGGTTTAAGCCTAGCTGGTAACTAAGAACCACGCAGCCGCTCGCTCACTCCCCTCCCCCATTCATCCCTCCACTTCCAGATGGATGGGGAGGAGAATCAAAAGACTGTAACTCCCACAGGTTGAGATAAGAGCCATTCAGTAACTAAGGTATAACACAAACCACTGCTGCTGCCACCAATAATAATAATGATAAGGGAAATAACAAGGGAAGAGAATACAACCTCTCACCACCCACCCACCAATACCCAGCCTGACCCGAGCAGTGATCTAGCCCTTCTGGGTAACTGCGCCCAGTTTACATCCTGGCCATGACATGCTGTGGTATGGAATACCTCTTTGGCTAGTTTGGGTCAGGTGTCCTGTCTCTGCTTCCTCCCAGCTTCCCCTCCTCCCTGGTAGAGCATGATTCTCAGGAAGTCCTTGGTCAGAGTAAACATTACTGTGCAGCAACTAAAAACATCGGTGTTATCAGCTCTGTTCCCAGGCTGAAAGTCAAAAAACCAGCACTGCACCAGCTACTAAGAAGGAGAAAAATGACTGCCACTGCTGAACCCGGGACAGCTGGGATGAAAATTATCTCAGGCTAAGCAGAAATATTAAGTGCTAGAGGCATGATATCCCTGTATTTATTATTTTTTAAATCCTCCTCAGTCAAGAGGCTTTGGGCTAAAATTACATTTGAAAAAAAAAAAATAAAATCCATAAGAGCAAGTTAGGAGGGCCATGAGGATGATCAGGGGACTGGAGCACCTCCCGTATTAAGACAGGCTGAGAAAGTTGGGGCTTTTCGGCCTGGAGTTAAGAAGGCTGCGTGGAGACCTCATAGCAGCCTTCCAGTATCTGAAGGGGGGCTATAGGGATGCTGGGGATGGACTCTTCACTAGGGACTGTAGTGACAGGACAAGGGGTAACAGGCTAAACCTTAAACAGGGGAAGTTTAGATTGGATATAAGGAAGAAATTCTTTACTGTAAGGGTAGTGAGGCACTGGAATGGGTTGCCCAAGGAAGATGTGAATGCTCCATCCCTGATGGTGCGCAAGACCAGGTTGGACAGAGCCTTGGGTGACATGGTTTAGTGTGAGGTGTCCATGCCCGTGGCAGTGGGGTTGGAACTAGATGATCTTAAGGTCCTTTCCAGCCCCAACTATTCTACGATTCTAAGTTCTGGTTCTAAAGAACCCTCCATAAGGGCAAGTGAGTTCAGGAAATATTGGTTATTATTTGTCTCTGTGTTTAAGACATGAACTCTATTGAAGGAACAGAAAACATTGTTTTGGATCCTGTCACAAACTAAACAGTGCAAGCAAAACCAGTCTTTCTCTCTCTGTTTTGAGCAGATGTGGGACTGCCACACTGGACCTGAGCCACTCTCCCATCCCATGGGGACAACCAGGGAAAACACTGATGAAGCCTCTCAGATGACACAGACCATGAAGGCAGGGGTCTCTGCTTATCCCTGCAGTCTGACTTCTGAATATGAGGAGCTGTGTACATTCAGCTTTCTCCTTCATTAATGGGAGTTTTCTTCATAGAGATGCTGAACAGCAAATTTTGAAATAGGAATAACTGCTTACCTTTTAAATTGCAATCTGCTGCAAGACATGTTTGGTGAAAATGTAATGAGAGGAGTTCCTAGGGGACACATAATGGAACCACAGTAAATCAGAAGCACAGGAGACTGAAAGGGAAAAGAAACACCCTCTTGTGTACACTGAACGAGTTACTTGATAAACTGGAGCTGTAGCAGAGCTGTGAACTTTGTCAAGTAAAGCACACCACAAAGCCTGAGATTTCACCACTGCTTTTCAGTACACCATGCTTCAATCAACTGAATAAAGGCTCGGAGCTGGTAGCAAAACCAGAGCCATGACAACAGCAACCCAGTATTGTGCCCCACTGGGCCAGCATGCAATGCAAACTTCCCAAAGAAACCAGGTGGCTCGGGGTGCTGTCATGATGTTCCATTGTAATTATGAGCTTCAGCACCTCTGATGAATGTCTCAGCAAGCTGGCTGCTACCAGCATTATGAAATGTATTTCTGCACAGACACAGGAGAACAAAAATAGGACTTTCATTTCTTGTTAGATGTCCATGGCCAGAATATTCCTGTCCAGATTAATAAAGTCATTATTAATTTAGAAAAACATGCCTCTTGTATCCCTTTATATAAATCTACCTCTGTGGTGATAGCTAAGCAGCAGGACATCTTAGTGCACCACCTGCGGCAGCCTGCTTAACAACCTCCCACTGCATCAACAGAAGTCACAGGCAGTCTCCAGACAGCAACTGTAGTCATGCGGGCAAAGCAGCTGACAGCGCACCTCTAGCTCTACTTAGAGGGACTTGGAAATGTATAATGCTATATTAGTAAGTAAAGCCTCTAGTTAGGCTAACTTAAAGTAGCTGTTAATCTTTGCTAATGAAAATCTGTGGCTATGATCCTAAGTCTTTTTCCTGTTTCTCAAATACTTCTGAAGCTTTGGGTGCTATCCAACACCTATTGACTTTCAAGCAAAAATCTGACTAGAGAAGGCCACATCTGCTGACAGTCCTGTAGCAGTTCCAGAGGCTACTCAACATGGGAGGAGTCAGAATTCAACAGAGGCTTCCCTGACTAGCCTGATACTCCTGTCATACTCACATGAGCCTCCTGCATATGCCACTAGCAGTGCAGTCAACTGGCACTGTGCATCAGACTCTGGCATGGGGTGGAGTGTCTACAGTTTTTCTCCTTGGTGAAAATCACTGTTGTTACAGCTCAAGTGCTCCTGCAGGTAGCTCTTTCCCTTCTAAACTGATTTTGAGGTTTTTGCACAAGCAGAACCTGGGTTTCTAGTTTTCACAGTGACAGAAGTTGCATACTTGTGGGCTGAAAAAAGACTGATCAGATTTGTCATTTTTACTCTTCTGCTTATCCAGAGTAGAGATGAGCCTCCAAGCAAAACAATCTGCAGCCTCAGGGGACCTTTGGACTTGGCACTTGAGCTTCACTTTGTAAGCATCTCTTTTGCCAGCGTGTCTAAGCTAGAAATGGCAAACCTGGACATGACAGCTGAGGAAAATGAGAGCAGGTTAGGAAAGCACTAATGACTGCAGTTCACTTTAAGACTCCCCCTTAACCTGGGAGAACTGACTAATGAGTTTTGACTAGTGTAACATTAATGCCTTTCTCCCTTCTGTAGCCTCGAGGCTGCCTTGCCCAGAAGCAGAGTGTGGTGAGGGTGCGCTCTGAAGGCACTTTGCCACTCATGTAGTTTCCCTTACTTTGGGAAGATGTCTGTGCAATTTGTTAAGTAAGTAAGTTTAAAACTGCTCAGCTTTGCAGAGAAAAGCAGAGGAGCCTCAGGAGGGCCAGCGCATGCTTGGAGACTGCCAATGTGGGGACATGTCATTATGCACAGGGAGTGACTGAACAGTGGGCCCCAGGATGGGAATGAGCTTCTTCAGTGTGAACATCGACAAGCCTCTGCATGAAACTTACTTTCATTAGTGTCACCACTGTATCCTTATGTCATATGTAGAGAGACAGTGACAGGCAGGAAACCTGACTTAAAACTCTTCAGGAAGACACCACCTCTGCTAGTGAGACAGGACCTCCATTTCTGCAGCCTCTGTACTCAAGTCCTGAGGTAACATTTCAGCAGGCCAAAATAAGCCTATTTAATGAGGTCTGGGGGGCATTGTGCCTCTTGCCAGGTCCTCATTAGTAAACTGACTGCGCTACAAATAGGCAAAACCCATCAGGCTATTACAGTCAGATACTGCTGCTGGGCCTGTTGCTGATTTACAAAGATCAGCTGTTCTGGGTTAAGCAATAGCATATGGGAACTTGTCAGGAACTTCCTTGAAGTAAGCCCTAAAGTAAGTTACATCTTTATGGGAAAATATTTAAAAATAAAACCATATGAAGGGGCATGCAGGAAAAATGGCTCAAAGTAGAAAAAGCTCTGTTTCTATTTTGCTATAACTCACTGTCTGCATCTGGTAAAGAAAAAAGAGGAAGAAGCAACTTCACTAGAAGTGAAGTTGCTACTTCAGGGGTGAAGAAAATGGTGGTTATTCCAAACTTAGCATCAAAGATTTTTTTTGATCTTGGAATTATTTAATCTTTTTTCCGCTCCTCTATCTCGGCATCAGAATTTAAGGTTTTTCTTTTTTGCCTTCATTTCTGTTTCTTCAGTTGTGAGAAATTGTTGTGATAGGGGCAGGCAGTGAAAATAGCGTAAGCTGGAGGTGTCAACACTCTCCCATGTCCATGAGTATTTCAATACTAAGTTTTCATCTGTAGTAGGCTAAAGTAGGTATTCTATGTGGGATGGTGATCCCAGCAAAGAAAAGACTTACTTAGAAAAAAATGAATTGGTTTCAGTGCAAGTGTAATTGTAAATTTGACCATATGAAAAATACTGTATATATGACTCTAGGACAGCTACCCCATCAGTAAACTCCAGTAGCTGAGAAGTTATGGTACAGAGCCCATAGTAGAGTCCATCATACATGAACTGTATATGAAGGACATCAATTCATACAGTTTGTTCTTACCCTGATGCTAGCAGAGCACCAGGGTAAGCATCTTTAGTTAGGAAATGCAGTTGCGGTTTACAAGAGATTTGGCAGAGGCTTCTCAGGAATGATGGGCTTATGGTCCACAGAAAATCAATTCATCGTCTAATTCATGAAATGGCTTCTGCTGGGCAGGCCCAGACTTTCCCTTCCTGCAGTCTGATTTGCTGGCTTTCACACCTCTAGGAAAAAGGCCCATATTTATCCCCTCACAACACCAAAAATTTATTACTGGACACTTTTAGCCTCTGTTCTATTTCAGTGTTTCGCCTCAGGATTTGGTCTGGAGTTGTTTTCACAGTCAACAAGGCTGAAGGAAAACATTTCGAGAAGTTCGCAGCAGCATGCTAAGAATTTAGCAGGAAGCTGAACACTGTATTTCCATAGAAAAGTGGATGAACCAAGATCTTTTTATAAGTAAGAGGAAATGAAGCTTATGTTTTGTGGGTTTTAAAAATAAGTTGTTGCATCTTCCACATATTACATGCAAATAAAAGGTCAAGAAAGCTAAAATTATTCACATATGCACAAAGCAGCACACACAATTTAATCTTAGAAGTATCTGGATTTGATACATACTGATACATTGATACATTTGATACATTTTGATACATCGATAACTAAATGGCATCTATGACCTCATAAATTTTGTTTACCTTAGCGGTCCCATTTTTCTACTTCTCTCTTCTAATTAAAGGGAAGGTGTAGCCCTCACAGATCTGCAGAGCTGCCCAGCGTGGAAGAAGGCGATTGCAGGACGTAAGAGCAGATGGATGCAGAGGGTTCAGCTGCCTGGCTGCGATGCTCCTGGGTTCCACACGCATTCTCAGCAGCCCCAGGAGACTCCTGCAGAATACAGAGTGCAAACCAAGGCTACCCCATTCTCATGTAAACACCGTGGCTGCAAACAGTAGGGGATATGGCATAGCAGTTACAGAGCCTTTCCTGAAACAGGTGAATGTTCCTTGATTTCACATCTTTAAGGATGAACATTTTAATTTCAATGATCATGACATGTTTCTTTTCCCTTTTTTGTAAATTCAAGTTTTATTTTTGCTTTCCCCCTATCACAAAGCATCTCAGGTTTGACCCTGTGCAGTTCTTTTAGTATTCTGGATGGAGATTCCTTGTGCGAGCACATAAATTTAGGCCTTAGATGAACCATGGATATGGTAATTTTAATTTCTATAGTCACAGTTCATTAGCCAACCACAGTTTTGTCCCCATATTCTACTTTACTATCTTTATTAAAAATGTAAGCATATATTACATTTCATTTTTGACTTAAAAGTCTTTAAACTTTTTACCATCCTTACTGTATAAGAGTTCTGCTCCATTTTCTTTTTCCTGCTTCTTTTTTCTATTTATTTGTCTCATGACCCTTTCAGAATGCATGTTTTAAACTGAATTTTCAAATTCAACCTGACCATGTATTTTGGCAAACTTCATTTTATTAATTTGGTCTTTGTCCATTACAACTTGAATACTTTATTTTCCAGCCTGTCTCTATTTACCTGTGCTCTAATATAAACAAGACTCATAAGTACAGCAGAGCCATGGTTCTGCATATATTTATTGAAAATTTGCACTTACTACACAGAAGCAGCTGAATATATTCTTCATTTTGAAAATGAAAATCAACAGGATATTAGCAGGAACGGGTAGCTGTAGAAAAGGCACATAGAAGCAAGCTAAATGCTTTTTATATGCAATTGGTGGATACCATTTCACTAAGTATAAACAGAAGAAAATAAGAAAAACATTAATTTTTTAATCTTGTTGATGGACAAGGACAGAGCTTTCAGAATACAAATTTAAGGCTCTTTTAAACAGGGAATATGTCTTCTCAGTTCACTAAGGAGTTAAATTTCTAATTAATATTTTTACAAGTGTTTTCTAAAGCCTTTTGAGAAAGATGACAAGAAATGCTGGCGCTGCATTTGTAATAGAAATACAGAGGTACAAGCTATACTATAAAAGTTGACATTTTTGCGAATTTTGTTTGTGAACTAAATTGTCTAAAAAATTTAGTCCTCTTGCTAAAAATAGCCTTTCTGGAGTTATGCAAAGAAACAATAAAAGAGGGCATTTCCCCCCTTTCCCCCCCCCCCCGTGATTAATACTGGACATAAAAATTAATTATTATTTTTTAAAAATAATCACAATAAATATTTTAAGCCTGACAGAATGGACTCAGCCAATGGACTTAGAATGGACTCATGCCAAAATCCTGTCAGCTGCAAAGGTATTGCTCATTTTTAACACCTGCAAAAGGCTGAAGAGAAATGGAGGGGAGAGGTTTGAGGTTTGTGAATTCATTGAGAAGTGACACAGTTGTAAACAGATACCAAATTAGCCTCTTTTTAGTGAAAATACTGTTTACTCTCTCCAGTATTTTCTTACAGCTCCTGGATGTTGGCTAAGGACATGAATCTTATCCTTGCATAACCTCTCAAGGATTATGCTGGGCCTTTACCAGTGTCCTCTGGCCAGCAGACAAAGACGTATTCAAAAGCTGGACCTTCCCTTTGGTGCCAGCAGTTACTAGAATAACTCCTTACAAAAGCAACTCTTCAGCAAAATGTCAGAGTTGTAAAGACATATGCTCTTCTCACTGTACCTGAGATGACTGCCTGCTTCTCACTAAAACGCACAGCAATGATTTTACATAGTATTATCTTCTTGTATTTTCTTGAAATGTTCACAAACACACCTGACATTCTCAAAACAAATTTGTTGTTTATAACTCTGATGATCTGCTGTGGTAGATATTAAATATAAAAAAAACAAGGTTTCCAAGAAAAGGCCAGTAGAAAAGTCATTAACTGAGTTCTAGCTCAAGGCATGCGAACAAAGTATGTAACAAAATAAGGTACAGCGGGGGTGATATGAAATTGTGAAATCATTATTAAGACCAAGAAATGGGGCTGTGATTTCTTTGTGTTCTTAGAAAGACTTTCCCTTTGTGATTCCATACCCTAAGTCCCAACATCCTGTTATTTCTTACACTATACCTGAGGCAAAGGGACAGTCGTCTTGTCTGAGGTCTCTGAATATCACTCTAGTCTTATCTCCTGGGCTTCAGTACTAATGCTGACATTCACTTTCTGTGGGCCTGAGTAAGCAATCTAAATGTATCTAAGTTCAGCAAACTATAAACTGATGAATATTATCTTTATTGTAATCACAGAGAGCTTTTCACAGTTTCAGTTTCATGCAAAATATGATACAGAAATACTGTCATATTTATACTAAAGACATAAGGACTCTCCTGCTCTTTTACTTAATATCACATCAGTAACTTTTCTGATCCATACAGTAAAGAGCAGCTAAGACCATCTATTTCACTGTCAGCTTTTTCACTTATAAGTGAGTCTTCTACAGTTTCACTTCAGGAGTCATATTCAATTTTTGTTATTTGAAGTTGTCTGGTCTGCCAAATTCTTTTTCTTCTTACTCAGCTGATTGCCTCTTGTCTGCTGACCCGTTCTTCAACATGGATTTTTTTCTGCACCATTGAGTGCACTGGACTCAGGAGCCAGTGCATCAGCTTTTGCACAAATATCTTTATTTCCTCCTAGCCCTTTGCTGTTTTAGCATTATCACATAGTGTTGCTGCTCTGAAAGTTATGAAAGGTTAATCATGTATGACAATACTGGTATCAAGCAGAAATGTTAACTAGCCTATTGCCTGCTTATGCATACACTATATATAATGTTTTTACATAACAGTTTTGCTTTACTAATGCCTATTCAGCATTACAGAGAGAGTGGAGAGAAAATCCTTTACAGAGTAGTGGATTTCTTATGACAAATTTTAGGCTGTGCTATATGAAAGGTGCTGGAGGACAAAGAGAAAGTAAGTAGAGTCTTTTGGCATGAAGTTCTCTGGGCTTCCTGCCTTTGGTGAGGTTTAGCGATAGTTTTAGAACCTCTGTAAAAAAATCTCTGAGTACATGGAAGTATTAAATAATAGTAGCAGCAATAAATAGCCCAATAATTGACTGGAAAATGTTGTGTTTTTCCAATGATTTTCAACTAGATAACACAATAAATTCATCATTATTTTGTGATGTTTTAATTTTGATATAATTTTTGCACTGAAAGAATTCTTTTCTACTCAGGGGTATTATAAAAAGCAGCAGAACATCTACACTGCTTATCTTTCCTTGGTTTTTGTTTTGATTTACTCCCAGTGCTACGAAAGTTGCCAATCAGATATGTATAATAGCACCTTCTAGGCTTAGCTAGGCCAGAAATGCAAACATTTCACAATGAGCCTGAAGGAGTCTGCTTTAGATTCAGATTGCAACCAAGTATATTAAACTCTTCTGCCAAAGGTCTGTAATTCTTTGTCACAGCTGTTATCTCCTTTTCCACCTTGTTTTCTATTTCTTTAAGAGAAGCTCTTTTCTTTCTTAGAATGTTTTCCTGTTTTTTCTGTTTTCTCTAGTTAATGATTATCATGCTGTTCTTCAGCAGGTTTATGTACCCATTAAAACACTGCAGAAAGACTTTGACTTTCTTACTATATTTGTTGAACTATTTAAGCAAGCAGACTGAATTTGTTTGAATCACAATGTTACTGAAATGGCTAAAAATGTATTATTTTCAAAATACTGTGAGACCTGTTTCTCTTACTACTTTGTTCAGGTCTAAAACATTTTAGATCAGTGCTGAGCTATGTGAATTCATTCTTTTTTCATATTTCGGGAACTTTATAATCTTACAGTATGCTAAGCTGTCCCTGAAGTAGGCTGACAAGAGGACTGGAATAGCTAAATGATTTAGCAAACATTACAGAGATCAAAATCCATCCAGAGGCTTGAGAGGTGGGTGAACCTCATGAAGTTCAACAAGGCCAAGTACAAGGTCCTTCACTTGGTTTGGGCCAGTCCCAAGCACAAATACAGGCTGGGTGGAGACTGGATTGAGAGCAACCCTGAGGAGAAGGATTTAGGGGTGTTGGTTGATGGGAAGCTCAATATGATCTGGCAGTGTGTACCTGCATCCTAGAAAGCCAAACATATGCTGGGCTGCATCAAAAGGAGCGTGACCAGCAGGTCAAGGGAGGTGATTCTCCCCCTCTACTCCACTCCCATGAGACCCCACTTGGAGTCCTGCATTCAGCTCTGGGGGCAATGAAGATGCTTGATGGCTGATGCACCTCTCCTATGAAGATAGGCTGAGGGAGTTGTTAAGCCTGGAGAAGGCTCCAGGGAGACCTGAGAACAGTCTTCCAGTACATAAAGGGGGCCTACAAGAAAGCTGGAAAAGTACTTTTTACAAGGGTATATAGGGATAGGACAAGGAGCAATGGCTTTAAACTTAGAAAGGGTTGATTTAGATTAGATACTAGGAATAAATTCTTTACTGTGAGGGTGACAAGATAGGTTGCCCAGAGAAGTGGACAGGGCCTGGAGCAACCGGGTCTGGTGGAAGGTGCCCTGCCCATGGCACAGGAGTTGGAATGAGAGGATCTTAAGGTCCTCGAACACAAACCATTCTATGATTCTATGAAAACAAGAAAGCAGTAATAAAAAACCAAATGAGACTATGCTGTAGACTATCTTAGTCTCTGTACATTACACTTAGAAACAAATGCTTCTTTGGCTTTTGGGACTCAATACACTCAATATACTGAGAGATGCTTGCTGTATTAGGTCCTACATCTGTGTGGTTGTATCTACTCTTGTACCCACTTTAGAAAGCTGCTTCTTCCATATTATGTCTTTATTTTGATATTTACTTATTTTTTAAGCAAGTTGTTTAGGCACTGGAGTATGGGAAGATGAATGCTTAGCTATTTAAATATATTGCCAGTGTTTCTTCTTAAAGCAGTTGGCAAGACACTTTCCTTTAACATACTTTATAGTCTAAACAGTTGGCCCATGCATTTAATTTTAACAGCTTTTCATATTGGTGTCTCAAAAGACAGTGAAGTATATTTTATATATATTTTTATTAGACTTTGGGTTAGCTGTAGTCCCTTGCATGTTTACACATGTATAGCACCAACAGTGTATTTTTTTCAGTACTTGAGAAAGCAGGGTTGAAAACGGTATAGTCAGTGACAGCCTGTAAACACTGTCAGTGTCATATGAATAGGATTACAGGGAATAATGCTGGAAATATGTGATTTGGCATGCTGAAGCTAGGATAGAGTAGTAGCCCATGGAGTGGTTCTGAGCGATGTAGGGACTATGTAATGTCTTAAAATTATTTTCTTCTACTCCTTTCTTTCAGTCAACATGCTGTCACTTAGAAAGACCAGGATTTGCCTCAAATGAAAATATTGTGGCTCTGTTTTACTCACAGAGAATATGTTTCTCATTTATTTAAAAATATATGAGTCATGGCACACTGTCTCACTCAGCTCACCATCTGCTAACCCACTATGGAGTTACTACAACGCCCAAGTTACAGAGAATGTGCCAACATTTTAGCACTTCAGCAAAAATGCGTATACTATTACGCTTATCAATGATACTGTACCCATGCATGGGAGGTTAATGATCATTGTTAGACAATTGCTTTCTCTCTGTCCAACAGTCCTTTAGGAGAAGAGGGACCAGGGTATATGATCTCTGTTTTCCAAGGCCTTGTTATGGGTTGGGCTGCATCATATCTGAAATGGGGAAGGGGAACCAAAATGAAACTTTGCCAATCAGGGACTATTCTGTCCATCCGCAAACTAGTCCTACTTCTTTTAACACATGATCAGTTTAGCATAGCTTTTTAGAAACCTGAAAATTACGTTTTTTTATTATAAAACTCAAATGACCAAGATTTCCCATAGCCTTTGTTTTCCTAATTTTGCCATTTTTCAATTAGGTGACAGTGGAAATTTCTGTCTTGCCCAGGCACCTTTCTGGAGGAGCACCTTTCCTCCCCCTTCATTTTGTCCAGTCTATTAAAACTTTAAAAGGATGGGAGAGGTCGTACAGGGCCTTGAGCAACCTGGTCTAGTGGAAGGTGCCCCTGCCCATGGCAGGCTGGTTGGAACTAGGTGATCTTAAGGTCCTTTCCAACCCTAACTATTCTATGATTCTATGAGACTGGCTGCATTCTATTTCATGGCCATGGCTTTGCCCCAAGGAGTTTCTAATGTCACCTGGAACCCTTTGACCTTAAGACATAGTGTTAGCTGTGGCATTTCTGGGTAACAGAAGCAATTAGCTGGCCTTGAGTGTGAATTCCTGTTAGAGAGGGAATCCCCAGAAGACGTGTATACCTGCTGTAATACTGTGTGTCAAATATTTCTGTTTAGATTCTTGTGGCACATTTAACTGTATGAGGATTATTCACAAGAAATAATAGGCAAGCACATTTATCCATACTTGAGTTAAATGGTTCTCACTTTGAGAGTTAAACTTTTTGGATGAAATTAGAACTGAATTTTAATTTACTTCAAATGTATTTATTTTTGTAAGCCTACGCAGGCCACTTCTGACCAGTTTCTAGAAGTGAGTTTCTATAACTAAAAAAAATAAAAATATTTAAGAACAAGTATTAGACAGCCTAAGCTGTAAGCAGCACTGAGATCTGTGCAATGAATCAAAACTTCCCCTGTGACACTCATTTGCCCCTTTTACTGAATTCACAACTCTAATATACTCGGCAATATGAAGCTCAGGATTTACA